CATGTCCTACCACAACTCACCACTGCTCATCCTCCAGAGGACACAAGTATAGTTGCAAGCACCTTGGGGACAGGAGGTATGACTTTAAGCAGCAGGTGTTACTGAAAGTTGGAATGAGTTCTAATCTCGGTGGTGATGCTGACTTCACAAGGTGAATTCTGTGACCTCTTTCTGGATAAAGAGATGCCTATCTGGATTAAAAGCAGAATTCACACCCTTGTTACATCCAAGAATACACTGGTGATGATCATCAAAGGCAGGTGCTGCATGAAGTGGGAAGGAGGGAAGATGGAACTCCAGGCAAAGGGAACTAGCAAAGAGCAGCTCTAGTGTCTGAATGTGTAGAATTCAACCCAAAACTCCTGAGAAAAAATAGGGATGACGATTGATTGGAGGGACAGCCAGTCAAGGGGATGTTGTTGTATTTATAAAAAGATAAGGAAAGGAAGAATATGTTTGGTGAAGGTGCGGGCCCATGCTGAGACATCCCTTGCCCCTGAGGGACCAGCCACAAGAAGACTGTATAGTATAGAATAGAGTTAATTTAGGGCATGGGAAGGGAAGCTGAGAAGGTAGTAGAGACAGAGAAAGGCAGAGAGAGAGAGAGAGAGAGAGAGAGAGAGAGAGAGAGAGAGAGAGAGAGAGAGAGAGAGAGAGAGAGGAAGGAGGAGGAGGAGGAAGAGGAGGAGGAGGAGGAGGAGGAGGAGGAGGAGAGTAGGGAAGTAGACGCTGACCATGAACACGTGGATGGGGGAGGAGGATGGGGAGAGAGGGGGAAGGGATGAGAGGATGGAGCTGGAACAGGAAAGCAAGAGCAAGAGAGAGGGAAGGGGGCACACATCCCCTTTATAGTGAGTCATGCACACCTGGCTGTTGCCAGGTAACTGTGAGGTGGAGCTTAGACAATATGCTAAGAGATGTCACAGTTGTAGAGATGTGAACATAACAACAGGCACACCCAAGGTCAGAAAGCAGCACTGCTGGAATGTAAAGTCACAGATGCACCTAGCTCTACAATAGGATCAAAAAAGAAGAGAAAGGAAAAACACAGAGAAGGCAAAGGGTGACTAGCTGCAATCAGGGATGGGAGTCACCAGTAGTGAAAGGGGCACAGGAGGTGATTGAGGTGACTATTGTCAGAGTGTCTTGAATGCACGGGTGAAAATGCAATAACAAAATCTAGCATTATACATACTTTAATTTATTAATGCAAAAATTCAATAAGAAGACAAAGAAAGGAAGAAAGAAAGAAAGGAAGGAAGAAAGAAAGAAAGAAAGAAAGAAAGAAAGAAAGAAAGAAGGAAGGGAAGGAAGGAAAGAAGGAAGGGAGGAAGAAAGAAAGAAAGAAGGAAAGAAAGAGAGAATAAAAGAAAGAAAGAAAGCCTCATGCCTGATGGCTTGCCCCATCTTGTGTGGGAAAAACCACCTATGCTTCAGGAGAAAATCCAGAGTCAGGACTGCATGGTTTCCCCAAAGTTCAAAGGCTTCCACAGAGCACACAAGCCCTCCTCCCTGATGCAGCCACTTCCTCATCACCCTCCCCTTAAATACAGGGACCTTCTAGCTCTCAGGCCTAAACTGGGCTCCTCCTACCCTGTAAAACTCTTCCCTTTCCCTCCCACTTGAAGTCCTTATATGCCACTTCCTTCCTGAAGACTTGCCCCATTCCTCCAAGCCCTGGATGTCAAGCTTTCCTATGATAATTCTCTCTATTGCATGTGCCCCCCAATACCAATGTCTCTTTTGTCAGGAGGAGACATGGCGTAATCTGTAAAGCAGCCCAGTGTTGGTAATCAGGACCAGCTGTGTAGCTTCTTTCTCAAGTGCCCATCAAGGTCCCACAGTACCATACATCTCCTGCAGGGAAACAGCAGAGTGTTTTCATAGAGGCAGTGTGGTGTGCTTTGTACAAAAGACAGAGTAGTATGCTTTGTACAAAAGTTAGGAAAGAGTTGTCTAGCCAACCATAAGGAAGCAGACAGACAAACCATAGTCTATAAGGACCAGGAAACATTCTGGTGCCTTGAGACAGAACAGGGGTAATAATAGCCAAGTAACAAGCCAAGTACTATGTAGCTGGCATGGCAACTGAAGAAGGGACAGTGTGACATGCTCCCACCACTAGAGCAGAGCCGATGGGGTGTGGGCCTCCACAAGGGTTGACATTTGCTAAGCATAAGTCTTTGTTATATAATAATATATATATATTTTACTTCATGTTCCTCTTTCATGAAATGTTCTCCCTGCCAAGGTTAAGGACTCCACGATAATTAGAAACAGCACAAGTCCAGGAGGGTGTGTCTAATGTTCCTCAGCAAAATGACAAATGCTGAGATTTTCAGAACCACCCTTAAGGCTGTGGGGAAAGAACTCTGAAAACATGAGTTCAAGAATATTTCCCAATTATGCAAAATATAAGGATGCAACAAGACTTGTATGAGGGGGATTTGTGGACCTTAAAAAACAGAGGCAGCTCCACTAATGAGTCAGTAGAGGGAAAGAAATGGTTAAAAAAAAAAAAAAACAAGGTTCTTGTTTCAAAAGAAATACCAGGAAGTGAGGGAGTTGTGACCTCAGGACCTGCTTCCAAATAACTAAGTCTATTGTTTGTGCTTACAAAGGCAGGCAGATTTCTGCTCCCACCCAGCTAAGCCTTTTGTTTGTGCTTACAAAGGTAGACAGATTTCTGAGTTCAAAGATAAGCCTAGGACAAAGGGAGTTTAGGCCCAGGTTTGGTGATACAAGCCTTTGAATTCTTAAGGAAGTACTTTATGCAAATCTGTGAGATAGAGCTACTCAGAGACAACTGCTTGGAGAGCTAACACACTCTTTTAGCATATTTTCTGGCAAGTTTCTAACTTGGGTTGGAAAACTAAAAAACTATTTAGAGAGGTATTACAGCTTCTGACTTTGGTCAGAAAACCTAAGAGCAACCAGGAGAGACTTGAGTCACACAGAGGACTGAGTCCTTCTTCCACTGCTCCCAAACACCCATTCCTCAGGACCCCATCTCCAAGCCAAGAGTGGTCCTTGGCAATAAGAAACCATGGAGATCCATGAGACAGATGCTGAGAAACATGGCTTCCTGGAGCTACTAGTTCTGACCCAAAAATGTGTATTTGTGTCCCTATCCATCTTACTCTTCTTCCAAATAAACAAGACAGCACCTGGATTATTTGCCATACCCCACAAGCTGAGCAGAGACCAGGGGATTCCCAGAGGACCCAAGTCTGCCACCCACTGCTCAGCCTCTTTTCCAATATACTGGATTAGTAATTGCCTACTGAAGACTCAGTTTCTACACAGAGCCTGACATAGAATCTGGCCTCAGAATACATTGTGTGACATGCCCCCAGCCCTAGAAAAGGCTCCTTGTGTCTCTGTGGTCACCCTTTGTCCCCATCCTGCTGTATTAGCTGCACCTGAGAGCCAACGTTACTCCACAGGTCCCTAAGGTAGGCAGTCCTAGGCTACTGTCCATCTCTCTGTTTCTTCTACTTCTCAGTGGAGTAGGCATGAAGACCTCTGCAGAGGGGAGACCCTCTCTCAAGTCTCAGAAAGTCGCGACCACCCAGTAATCTACTCGAGACACCATATACCGGAGCAATTGCGAGGTTATTTATTAGGGCGTGACAACTAGCTGCCGGTCAATTCGCATGCCCACGCAGGAGCTGAATTGACCCCGACTGCCAGTTTGAGGGGTGTTTTTAAAGGGAAAAACCACAAACCAAGGAAATGAGGAGGGAGTGAGGGGGTTGCTAGGGTGGTATAACATAAAAATAGTGGAACATTCCAAAGGAACCCAACCTACATGAGTCAGGATCAGATGAAAACTCTCTGTACGCTTATCTTTCTCAAGAATGTAGTCCTGCCCTGTCACTTCGGCCTTGCCCTGTCGCTATGGTTCTCAGCTTGGTTCCACCTGACTAAATTGCATTCTTTCCTTTCTCTTTGCGGGTCAGCCAGTCCCAGTAGTGGTGACTGGTCTTTCCACATTCCTCAAGAAAGCCTAAAGAATATTTTATATCTAAAAAGGATTCTATATACCCAGTATCCATAACTTTTCCCTCTACAGGCACATGCACCAAACACCTTCCCTCTGGGGTCCCATGTCAGGTCCCAAGCAGTCTGTTATCTAAGCTGAGCCCTGATAGCTTGGTGATCGCACTTGAGGGAATACTTCTCTTGTGCTTCAGAAATGCATCTACACCCAACATGGCTCAGAATCCATTTCTCCTGTCACAGTGTGTGTACATTAAAGGGGTCCACACCACCTTCTAGAGCTATGGTGAGATTGAACAAGTGGGGAAACTGAACATAATCCCCAACTTACCAAGGACTCTTGCTCTGGATAAATTTGAGCAGCACCCAGGTCTACTTAGGAGTGTGGGTTCACCACTGGTTTTGTGTGATAACCTAAGGCTGACTTCCTAAATTCTTCTCTGCATACCCATGTGTTTGTGGGTTCAGCATGGTGTTTAAGAAAACAAATTCTGCCACCTCAGGCTCAGGGCACTTCCAGAGATTACTCTCCATCCTTCTGAACTCTGACCAGCCCTGTCTCTCTTCACAAGCACCTGCCTCTCCTCACCCCTCAGCACAGATCTGGGCTCTGGAGTGGTTGAGGCTGACAGTGGTCTTCTGAAGTTAGAGAACATGGCATTTGGAATGTGCCTTTACCTGGAACCATCCTGCACTGCCTCCTCTCAGAAGTTCCCAGCATCCTCCATGGCACAGTCCACTACCTCATGCCTCGCCTTCACGCCCCCTTTGGTTGAGGAAACAAAGTCCTTTTCTCTACCAGAGACCTAGAGCTGGATGGCTGTGTGACATCTCTGCTCTGTTCCAGGAGAAGTGTTTGATAGAAGCCAGGTACCAGAGACTTAAATAACCCTTCCTTCTGGGGCCTATTTCACTTTACACGAGTATTACTGGGGTTGATTACCATGTCCTCACAGCTTGAGGGAGGGAGAGCAAGTAACTACTCAGCAACTAAACACTACGGTTTGCAACACATTTATTTCACCATTTGATTGGAGTTTTACAATCATTCCCTAAACACAAATCTTTCCCCATCTTTCAAATCAGTCTGTGATTACAAGTGTCATGCGAGGCTGTACTGTCATTTTGTAGATGGGGAGCCTGGCTGAGGAAGAGGCATTGGCTTTATTCCACAACTCAGAGACTGAGCCAAGAGGCAGCCAAGATAGATCCTTAAGATACAAGACAATAGCGACCATGCTTCCTTGTAGGGAGATATTTGTTGCTATATTCTACAAATATTTTCTTACTTTTGATTTTTTCGTCTTTCATCAGCATGACTGCAGCTTGGCAGAGAAAAGCACAGTGAGATGCAGGACCATGCAAACATCTGCTGAGCCACAGGTCCATCCAGGACAGGACCATGTAAATGTCTGCTGAGCCACAGGCCCACCATGACGGGTTCCCTTGATAAGTGAGGAATTGGCTGGAACATTCATAGACCCCTGAACAGGGTGGCAGGGATTAGGACACCCTCATGCCTCTATCTCTAAGTCCTGGGACAGAAGCAGAGCCCATCCCATTTGTACATGAGGAAGATCTGCTAGGCAACTGCTCAGCATGTTCTGTGACAACACAAGAATGTCAGGAAAATGGTTGACACCTCAGTGCTCAGGCCTCTTCCAATACTAGGGGTTGCAAGTGACTGCTTTTATTCCATTTTTCAAGACCAGCCAGTTAACATTCACTGAACACAAGACTATAGAACATAAGAGGACAGGAGCCCAGTGATGTGAGATACTACCTTGGCCAGCAAGCCTCCACAGATTGAGAAGGAGCTGAGAGCCATATGCCCAGTCTCCTGTCACAGAAGTGTTGACTTTATCTCCATTCCATACACTGTTTGATGCCTTATGTGATCTGCCTTGACTCTCACTCTGGCTCTCTCCATATTCTGCTCCCCAGGCTTCCTGACTTCTCATTGCCTGTACTGTACAGCCCTCCCTGACCACACCCACCATGTTACAGTCCCCTTCCCCACACTCTAGGACACTCTGATCCCCCGTTTTTACTTTTTTTTTTATTTCTGACAAGCATCTTGGTAAGTAACAGCTAATTTGAAAGGTTACATACTATATGATTTCAAATCTGTGGCACTCTAGACTCTTGTCAACACCCAAAGATTGTTTAGCACAAGCAATGAACTCTATACTATATACTGTATAATATAGCCAATAATATATCAGTACTATGGTACAGGCATGTAAATCCAAACACTTTGGGAAACCATCATAAGTTTCTGGTCTACCTAGAAATTACAGGCCAGCTACATGATAAAGCCATAATCAATCTTTAAAAATCCTATAAAAAGCACTTTCTGCTTTCTGAATTTGAAACTGCTTACAAACCACTCCCCCACAAAAAAATCTATGAAAATAAAGTTCAGCAAAACAGACCCACTCAAACAATATCATATCTCAGATAGCTAAGTATTTAGCAAATCCAGAAGAAGACCAGGGGCAGATACCACAGATGTTAAGATTTAGCAGGGTATTATTAGAGTGATGGATGCTGATTTGTCTGCAGACTCTCCATCCTGGTGGAAGTCTGATACACTTTTTAAACTTCAGTTTGCTCTTCTGGGATCCCTGGCCATCTGCATTTACCTCACTCTGCTCAGCCAGAGAAATTCAAACTCCTCAACTATCTTTTCCATAGACTTGAACTCAGGTGTTTTCCATTGTTACAACATGCTTCTATTGTCCCCAACCCTGTACATGTCATCTCCTCTGAACTCTTAGCTGCTTGGAGGACGGATCACTGATGCAGGGCTGACTTCAGAGCATTGTAGAACTCCTGAAATACCTGCAGGTTCTCCTCCAGATTGAGAGCCAGGTCCCGCAGTGCTCTAGCTGACTCTGTTTTGGCCCCCTTATACAGATCCCTTGAATCGTCCACAAGGTGATACACATCCAATCCAAGGAACAAAGCTGTAAACACTCCTGACCTAATCCTGGCTCTTCTGGTCATGGGGAGAAGACGTTGGGCAGTGGATGTGAGGTTACTGGCCGCTGCTCCAGAGCTAGAGGTGGATCTGGCTGCTCTGATGGCTCGGATCTGATCCTTGAGGGTTTTGAAGGCATTGAATAATTCCAAACCTGTATTACAAAGCTTGACTGTGATCTTAGGCACAATCTTTAGAATCTCCTCAAGTATGCTCATGCTGGCTCCAACCAGTCTACTGGCTTCAGATTCATCTGACACTCTGTTTGATTCTTCCACAATGGTGGTCGTAAGACTAGTCACAGATGCTGCAGCTCCCAGACCCACTGAGGTTACTGAGAGTACCAGACTGGTCCCTGCTGTAAAGGGTGCCAGAGCCAAACCAAGGAGGCCCAGGACTCCAGAGGTAGTACCAACAGAGCTGGACACCACATTGGAGATGGTGCAGTCTTTGTTTACTTTGTCAAGATGGTCAGCCAGGTCTCGGAGCTTCCTGATATGGTCCTCTAGTTTCTTTTTCAACTCAGGAAACTCTTGCAAAAATCGCTCTTTCTGCTGCTCCCTTTGAGGTCTGTCATCTTCATCCGTGGGCTCCTGTGCTAAATGCTCCTTCAGAGCCTCACGCAGTGCAGCTTCCTCCTCGCTGTGACAGAAGGCAAGAGCATGAGGAAAACAGCTATGTTTTTTTAAAGATAAAAGCTTATTCAATCTTTACCTTCATACTACAAACCCAACAGGAAATAATTTTACAGGGATCCAAAACTTTCCACTGTACTGTGAACATTTGGTACATTCTAGAAGCCTACCATCCTTAGTCCACAGGGGTCAGTGTGTGAGGTAGAGTCAAGACACCTTAGTGAATGGCACTTGATAAAATGCCACCACTCAAGATCAATGTAATCTCTACCTGTGGGAACCATGTGATGAGCACAGAGATGTGGGATCAGAGCAAATTGTTTCTGAGAACTGTGTGTGTTGTGAGGGATGCACCCTTCTCAATAGTCTCCCCTCTACCATTGGATACTGGGAAGTCATCTGCATCCCCTGCAGCATCCAGCCTGCAGGAATGCCTGAGCTTGCCTGGGGAGCCCTGCAGAGGGAGATACAGACTGAGCATGCTCAGAGTGGACTCCTCCATCTGAAAGACTCCCAGACCTGAGCAGTCAACAGCTCCACATCTGACCTCATGGGACAGTACACAGTGACAGCACACTTGCTCTAAACGCTTTCATCAGGCCACCTGTGTCTGCTGGATACAGTGTTGGCATTAAGGTTAGCTTTGGATCCCATCTGCAGGAAACTTCATTAAATACCCATAAGTATTTCAATTGGGGAAATGAAGGGTCTGAGATACACTGTTTCCAAGGATTTTCTATAAAACTGCTCAACCTTAAAGAAAGGGGTGTGATGAGGACTTTTCTCCCATTTCTGACCTCCAGAGGAACTGGAAGCCTAAGCCATTGACTTAAGGAAGATTCCCATGAGGCCCATGTCCCTGGAACTGATCTATTGTTGTCCCTGTAAGGGATGGGCTGTCTTCTGCCCTCACTACCAGCTGGCCCTGAGTCCCCCACCCCTTGGCTTTGGAGAGTGGCTCCATCTCTCTCCCTTGGGGCAACAGTCCTGAGCAGTGTCCTCCTGGCTGCTGGAAGCTGTCTCAGGATGAATATTCTTCTGAGAATGGGCTTTCTGGTATTCAGGAGTCATGTGATTCATCACACACTCAGTGCAGGATACTTCACCCCAAGGACAAGAAATCTGAAGCCTGAAGCTCTCTCAGATGTGGCTGATGCCTGTCTTCATTGGTTCATTTGAACACTCTGTGCTATGTGATCAAAATCGTTGATGTGAGTTCTGAACTTTTTAAAATTTTCTCAATCCAATAGTTGACTTAGAATAGTCTTTCATTAAGAGCTGGTGTGAAAATGAGAAGGAAGGCTCACTGAGACTCTTTCATCCGACTTTATCATTTAACTGTTTCTGAGAATTCATTAAGAAACACAAGCCAATCCCTTAAGAGCCATGAGACCCTCCGGATTGTTTTGCCTGCTGCCTGCCCTTTTCATATGCCCACAGTTGTCCCCTTCCAGGCTGGAGCTCACAGGATCAGTGGCTGCCTGTGGTGACTGGGACAGGACAGCTGCTACCAATCTTGGCTCCACACTGACTGCCCCTCCTCACTAGTTCCTGACTCTCAACATGGCAGATTCATGTAGACAGAGATCACCAGGCTAATACATACCCTAGCTGATGTCAGTGTCTCCTTGGTACACCACAAGGCCAAGTGCAAAGAGGCAAGGGGCCTTGAGATCATCTGTAGTAATTAGAAGGACAATAATCCCCTGAATTTGTTCAAGACAAAAGGGGAAGCATTTTCCTCTGGTGTGGTGACATGGGATCTCCTGACATTCTCTACTTATGTGAATCATCCTCCAAACACACTGACTTTGGAAGGTGTCTGCAGCCATGTGTTCTTCCTGATATTTAGGCCACTCTGTATAGAACAGAAGAAATCCCTCAAATAACCCCTAAGAACTCTACAGTCTTTGAAGACAGTCTGTGGATGGCACACCCATGAACAGCCTTACACCCACATGAGGCATGACATCAGTGAATGCTCCTTCTCCCTTACATGTCTTCTGTTGGGCCCCTGACCATCCCCCTTTTTGTGTCTCCAACTCTCCCTCTCTTTCCAGCCCTGTCTTCCTAGTCTGATACCTACATCTCCATTCCAGGGTCACTCAGTCTCTCCTGACCCATGGCTGTGACCCTGGTCCTGGTCTCTCTGGGCTTTGCCAAGCTGACTTTCAGGAACACCCACTGTGTGCTGGTCCCATGCTGAGAATCCCACTGTGTGCTGGCCCCACAATGAAAAGCCCACATGGATGATTCTATCTTCTCACATTACAGTTCCACGGTGGTGGACATCAGGAAGTGGTAACTAACTTGTCAAGGTCACATAACTAGTGGGTGGCAGAAATTGTCCTGGGACCTTCAGCATCAACTTCTAGCAACCTGAGGTGATTTCCACCTGGAATAACATGTTGTAAACACTCCTCTTGGATAGTTGAGAAGGAAGGTCCATAACTCAAACCCCTGGGACTGTCTTGAGTGGGTATGCCTGACTAGGAAATAACCCTCATTCTCCTGTCTGGGGGTAGCACTCAGTGAACCCTGCAGGTCACCTTGACAACTCTGCTGCTTCCACAAATCCATTCCAGACTCCATCTTCAGTTATCAGGCTCTTCAGATCTGTTCTGCAGAGTACTTCTGTGAGAAAATCAGTGAGTTCTTCAACAACTCGACCTATAACCATTTATCAGGAAAATGAGGTCAGATGACAGTATGGGGTCCCATGAACCTCTATTGGTCTAGCCATCTCTCATTCACCTTCATCAGACCTGCTGATCTGGAAGCATACAGGTTAGAGTCCTTCCCTGCACCCATTTCCCTGCCCACTGAGTCCCCTGGAGCCTGTCCAGTTGCCCAGAGCTATGTGATATTCTCCTTCCCCTAGATTGCACTGTCCCACAATTTCTCTGTCTGCCTTCCCCTGCCTCCCAATCCCAACTGCTGGGAGACTTGCACTGCCCCCTGAGTTCCATTGTCCAACCCAAGGCTGCCCACAGAATCCTGCTGTACCAGGAACATTGAGGTTGTGTCCCCTTTCCAATAACTGCTACATCAGGAACCCCCAGGGACTACAGGATGGTTTAAGGCCAGAGTAAGGACACAGTCAACAAAAGCCAGGGCAATATGACACCTTCAGAGCACAGTTATAATACTACCAAAAGCTCTGGATATCCTAACACATCTGAAGCAAAAAGAAAAAAAAAGATTTGAAATCCAATTTTATAAGGATGATAGAGACTTTAAAGAGGAAATTATGAATCTCTTAAAGAAATAAAGGAAAATACAATCAAACAGACAGAGGTGTTTAAAGAGGAAACAAATAAACCTTAAAAAGAAATACATGAAAATACAATTAAAAAGGTAAAGGAAACAAAATTGTTGAAGACCTGAAATTCAAAACAGAAGCTGTATAGAAAGCACAAACTGAAGGAATCCTAAAGATGGAGCACTGAAGGAAGAGAACAGGAACTTCAGACACAAGCATCACCATCTGAATACAAGAGATGGAAGAGACAATCTCAGGCATAGAAGATACGACAGAAGAAATTGATGATCAGTAAAAAATAAATAAATAAATAAATAAATAAATCTCAAAGAATCATCACACAAAACATCCAGGGAATCCCGGTTCAGTTATGACCCCCAATGCATATGTAGAAGATCTTAGACTCAGCAAGCGTATTTGTAAACAGGAACTTTACAGAAATTAAGTGGTGAAGACCAAGCGATGCCATAAATATAAGGTATTACTCAGTGTGACTAGGGTCCTTGTGCCAGTGAGAGTCCAGATGTCTGTCCTCTATGATCACTCTGTCATTTCACTGTCTGTCATGTGTTCACACCTGTCTCTGTGTCTGCCTCCCTTTGCTTCTATTTTTTTACTATGACCCTGCTCCACACGTGCAGAGAGGACACCATGTGCAGAGGAAGTGACCCTGCTCCCTCTGCACACCAGGAAGAGGTGCTTACTGGGACCAACTTGCCAGATGTTCATCTTCCATTGCTGAGAAATAAAAGGCCACTTGTTGATGGCTCTTTTTTGAGCCACCACAAGTCTCTTACAGGTGAACACTGTGGTGCCAGTGTTTTCAAATGTGACTTCCATGCTGCTAGTAGGTTCTCCATTATCTCACTGGGTCAGTAGTAGAATTTTTAATAAAGGTAGAATGAGTATCAGTGTATATTCAACACGAGAAGGACTTGGGGCTCTCAAACCGATGAAAAGCATCCACGTCAGCTTTAACTACTGCAAAGTTCGTGACTCTAAAGCCATTAATACAAAGACAGCAGTGCCAGGTTTGGCTGCCAGCTTGGGATGTGCCCTTGTCACAATCAACTAGCTCAACAACTCTGTACACTGAAGCATTTCCTCTCTAGCAGCAAGAAAGATTGGGATTTTTCTCCCTTGACAGCCAAGCTAGAGCTTAGCTGGTCTTGACCAGACTGTACCGTCTCACTTTCCACTGCAGGGCAGGAGCCTCCCTTACTTCCTTAACCTCCTCGACTGTCATAGCTCCTCTGAGACACTGAGCTTCCTAAGACCAAATGCAAAGTGTGAAGCATTTGGCATTTCTTCCTGTCCCACTTGTTCTTTTCATTGTAGACAAAAGAGCACAGAGTCACTGCTAAGAAGTATCTGCAGTCAGTGTTATGCTGTGTTGAGCTTTTCCCCACCAAAGAAATTAGTCCATTGCCAGAGAGTGTGTTCACAGCCTGTAATGCAGCAGAGGGACATTTATCAGCTCCCAGCTGCAAGGACAATGAAAACATATGGTGACAGCTAGAGGTGGCAGGGGCTCTTACACTTTGAATGCTAGGGACACTCAGTCTTCATGAAGCATAACACACGCATTTAATGACCTTAAAGTGTGTGCCATTTGCCCCTGTTCACCTCACCTACTTGCCTGGGCCAGCCTGTACCTCCCCTGGAGTGCCTTCCTGTATCCCAACCAGTGACATGTCCTCCCTGGTTGTTGGCATTTAGGCTAGGCTCTGCTCCACTGTAACCTGGAACCAGCCACACTTGCCTGACTCACTCTAAAGGGGGATACCTGCCCCCTCCTCTCTCTCTTGCTCTCTTGCCCTTGCTCCAGCTCCTTAACCCCTCTCTCTTGATTCTCCTGGCACCTCTCTTTCCATGTGCTCATGGCCAGCCTCTATGCCTCTACACTTCTTCTCTCTCTCTCTCTCTCTCTCTCTCTCTCTCTCTGCCTTTCTCTGTCTCTATTACCCTCTTAACGCCTTGCCCTATGACCTGAATAAACTATTCTATACTATAATGTCCATCCCTGTGAATGGTCCCTCAGGGGGAAAGGATGCCTCATCGTGGGCTGGCAGTGTCACCTACTTCCCCCACACCCAGCTGCATATGCACCAAAGATACCTCTTCTTTTCTTTCGTCTTATAAAACACAACACTGGTCCTTTACTCTCTCTTCATGCTTGTGGTATCTGAGGGCCTCAGTGGTGTCTCTACCACTGCACAGCCTTCAGGACATCACATGTGGAGAGCAGCCTCTTGGAACTCTTAACTGGGCAGGCAACCCTAGCTCCATACATAAGGGGACAAAACAGAGGCCTAGCTAAGGGTGACAAACCCCATGTCACAAAGCGCTCAGAGCAGAGAGGTGAGGGAAACAGGAGCCTTGTCTCTGGATGGAAGACTAATCCTGTGGATTTAACACTTCTGGCCCCCTTTCCTTCACTAGAGCCCACTCTACTGCAGTCTGCCCTCCTGTTAGGTGAGGCCTGTGCAATGGTCCTGGGGACAGTGCAGAGCCCATCGTTCATCCATTACCTGCTTCCCCTCCACACCTGCACACACAAGACAGCCTTGGCTTCATCCTCTGTCCTCCACAGGCTAGGCAGAGGCTAGGTGAGAACCAAGGAGTGTCACCTCTCACTTACGTGCTCAGCCTCTTTGAGGCACCTTAGAATAGTCACTTTCTGTTACACCTCAGTTTTCTTTAGGGCTTAGCACAGCATAGCCAGGCAAAGCTGTGCTGAAACCAATTAGGTGTTCTGTACATCTCAATCAAAACCTCCTTCTCTTTGGTTCTTTTTTTTTAGGTTTTTCGACCAGGCTGGCCTCAAACTCAGAAATCAGCCTGCCTCTGCTTCCCAAGTGCTGGGATTAAAGGGGTACGCCACCACTGCCTGGCATTCTCTTCGGTTCAATAAGAGCACACCAAGGCCAGCGTGGTTGATGGCTCTGTGTTCAAGCCTCCTCCACTTCCTTTTTCTGTTTTGGAGCTCTCCAAAATGACTGAGCACAGATAAAACCTTGCCTTCTTGCTAGGGACGTCTACTCATGTCTTATTTGCCCTACAAGAAGGGTCAGGGTAGAGGAGAGAGAGGAGCAGACAGACCTCATGTGACTGAAGGTCCAGCCCTCCAGCTGCTGAGCCTCTGACCACTGCTCATCTTCCCTGAGCTCATCCACACATGGGACCATAATCCTTCTCCTCCAGAGACATTGAGAGGATGAACAGGTGGGGATAGTGTGCTCCCCAACTCACCAAGGAATCTTACTGCATCCATACTTGTATGTGTCCCAGCTGTCCTGAGCTGTGTGGATCCAGTCACCAAATGCACGTCTGAGACACAACCAGAGACAAGCTCTGGGCCTCATTTACACAGTGAAGGAAAGTGAAAGGAAAATATCTTGCTTGTGGCTCCTCATGATAAAAGAACCCACCAGGCATGATGCCTGCCAGGTACCACCCTGCTGATCAGCCATGGACAGGAGCTGATATGGAAACGTCTTCTCTGGCCTGGATAGGATAGAAACAGAGCCAAGAATGAAGGTCAGTGATGAAGCTTGAGCTAGGCTTCAGATTCCACGAAAAAGGAAAACATTTACTACTGAGATGGCAACAGATGCTTGGTCTCAAAAAAGAGGAACTTGTGTTATGTGGATTTGTGGATAGGGAATAAACTTGGGACTTTCTATGTTAGTGGGCCTGTCCCAGTCTCTCTCTTTTCTTCTCTCTCTGTCTCTCTGTCTCTGTCTCTCTCTCTCTCCTCTCTCTGTGTTCATCTCTCTGTCTCTCTGTCTCTCTTTCTCTCTGTCTCTCTGACTCTGTCTCTCTGTCTCTGTCTCTCTCTGTGTTCATCTCTGTGTCTCTGTCTCTGTGTGTGTGTTCATCTTTCTGTCTCTGTCTCCCTCTGCCTCTATCTCTCTGTCTCTGTCTCTCTGTCTCTGTCTCTCTTTCAATCTCTCTCCATGAAATACTTGGATCAGATATGAGCTCTCAATTACTTCTCCTGCACATCCTTTCCGGCTGGCATGCTCCCTCACATCATGGTAACTAACCTTCCTCAAGTGTAAGCAACCCCCCATCAAATGCTTTTATAAGTTGCTTTGTTCATGGTGTCTTCTCACAGCAATAGAACAATAGCTAAGACACCTTGTACAACTCCCAAAATTTTCTATAGGAAATTATCCGTCATTCCTGTCTGATACTGTGCATGTACTATTGAATACATAAGGAGCAAAGGCCTTTCTTAGGGACACACAGACACCAGACACAGGACAGCAGACAGAGGCAGTTGGAAGATACAGAGAGAGAAGTAAATAGTTTAAATGGGGCTTGCTCTCGGTTTAGTTGACTCTGAAGGCAAGATTTGGTTTGTTTGTTTGTTTGTTTGTTTGTTTTCAGAGACAGGGTTTCTGTTTCTAACTAGCCCTGACTGTCCTGGACTTGCTTGGTAGATCAGGTTGGCCTTAAACTCACAAAGATCCACCTGCCTCTGCCTCCCAAATGGTGGGATTAAAGGCATGTGCCACCATGACCAGCTTGAGGACAAGATTCTTTAATGTGGTACTCCCAAGGGGCTTTATACTGAGACCTTGTCTTAGGGCAATGCTAGGGGTCAGGGGAGTAACAGATGAAGTTGCTTAAGTGTCTCTCCATGCTGGTTATTTCTTGGCTTGATTTCTGGCTCTGTATATTCTGTGGCTTTGCCAATGTATCAGTAAGGTCAAAAAATGCTGATTGGTGGGGAAAGAGAGCCTGTGGAGGAAAACTGAATTGATAGGAAAACAAAAGACTGGAGTTTGGCATGTGCGAGCTGAGCTGTCTGCTGAGCTTCAGAAAGCTGTCAGCTTGAACCCACGATTTGTCTTCAAGTCCCTGTTCCCTCAGAACCTCTCTCCAAGCAGAGGCTGGTCCTTGGCAACCAACAGTCTATCAAGGTCTTCCCTAGAGATAAAATTAATCAGAAGGAAGGTCCTCTGATCAGGTTTAAGTACATCCTTAGTGTGTCTTTCTGATGTGTCAATTGGGAAGAATGAGTGTTTAGAGGTTTGATTAGTTCTGTGATGGAAAATTTGGAGTTGACCCCTAGAATTTTTGCCAATCAGAGGTCAGAAAAGTGCGGGTTGTTTGTTCATTTTTCCCTGTGACCATTAGTGTCTGGAAATTCAAACCCAGTGTGATGGATATTTTAGGCTGTCAACTTGGCAAAATCGGTAATTAACTAAATCCTGAAAAGGAGGTGCACACCTATGAGGGATTTTTTTTTTTTAATTTGAAGTGGAAAGATCCATTTCTAATCTGAATCTTTGAGGTGGAAGTCCTACCTTTAATCCAGTGGTTGAGGCAGACAGAAACAACTGTAATCCAGATCTTTTGAGCAGGAAAAGCCACTTCTAGTCTGGGCCATGCTTTTTACTGGAAGCCTGCAAAGGACATGGAAGAAGGAAGTGTTTGTTGTTTGCCTGCTTGCTCTCATCTTACCAGCAAGTTCCTTCTTTCTCTGGCATTTCAGGCTCAGAGTCACTTCACCATGATGGTCTCCATGGGGCTTTCTTTCCCACCCTTGGGATGGGCAGGCCTCTACTTTAGCCACCAGGTAAAACTAGTCCCCAGACATTGCATATCCTGCCCTCTGCTCCCCACCTACAACTATGCATGTCCTTGGGTCTGGCTCTTTCCAAAGTGGCTATAGGACTCCAACCCTCCTCCCAAGAACTTCTGGCCTCAGAAACCCATATCCATGCTCTCATGCTTACAGACTGATGAACCAATCAGAGCAGTGAAGGGAAGCCTCTTGGCTGAACTTAGCTCAAGCTCTTCAGTGATGTATTCAGTACACTCATGGGTTTAGGCCTCATTTCCATACACGTCCAGTTATAGGAAGGCTAGACCCAGCGTCCACAGGCTCCACTCCCAACAGACATGTCCATCTGGACATTGACCAGCCACCAAGAGGAAACTCAGAGCTTCAGCCATCCCTTCACCAAGACATCCACCAACCACAAAACTGACCATCCAAGTGAATTGTCATCCCAGGAAACCCCTGAGGTCACCTGCCTGAACTCTGTCAGCTGGTTCTCTTTTGGCCTCCTCAGCTGTCTCTATCTGCCTTGAAGGCCCAAAAGCTCAACCTCTGCATACATCACTGTGCTGGTCTTTCATGAACAAAAGTTCATAGCCCAATAAAATAGAAAGGCATATTCCAGCTTCGCTTGTGTTTGGGTGTATCAGTTTTTCTTGGTCGATAATGGTTTCACTGGGGCTGTGTTTGCTTAGACCCTGTGAAAGTCAGACTGCACTAATGGTGGTGAAGTAGAGCACACACACACTTCAAAAAATGGAAATCTTTGATTTCCTAACCCTATATTCTTTATAAAGAGTACATAATAACACATACATCACAATTCACACTAAGGTGCTAGTATACTTAGGAAACTGAATGCATGTGTCCTCTACACAGCTTCCCTTCTAGGCAGAGGTGCGGGGTCACTGGGGTCTCAGAGCAGGAAATGGCAACAGAAACCTTGGCCAGGTGTGGTGTTGCATGCCTTTAATTCCAGCACTTGGCAGGCAGAGGCAGGGTGGATCTGTGAGTCTGAGACCAGCCTCACCTACATAGCGAGTTTCAGGACAGCCAGGGCTACATAAGAGAGATACCTTGTCTGAACAACAAATCTTTAAAAAAAAAAAAAGGAAGAAAAGAAGGAGAAAACAGAAACCTCAACCACAGTGATTCCATTGCTATAATCTCAGAATTCAGAAGGTATGAGCTGAAAGATGGAGATCTCAAGGCCAGCCTGGGCTACATAAATGAGAGCTTGTCTCAAACAGAAGATAAAAAAACATCAGAAAGAAAACAGGAACCCCTTCCATAGTGTGAGCCGCCAACACACAGACTTGTAAGAGAAGAAGTAGAAGATTTCCAAGAATAACAGTGGATTTCAGAGGGCTAGGGAGTGAGGAAATGTAACTGGCCCAGCATGAATGAAGTTTGGGGATTGGTCCCCAGCACTGCATACACTGGGTGAGGTTGGCTTACTGAAATCCTTCACTCAGGAAGTGGAGTCAGGAAGATCAATTCAAGGTCATCCCTAACTACAAATCAAGTTGGAGGCCAGCCTGGGCTATATAAGTCCAAGACCTTGTGTCAACACACACAACACACACACACACACACACACACACACACACACACAACCATTTAGGTACTATGAAGAATGAAGCACACAAAAATGGGAAACTGTAACTCAGCTAAGGAGCCTGGACAAGAAAACAGGTCAGCTATGATTTGACCAGTAGGTGGGCAACACTGCCTCCTGGTGGTAGGTACCAGCAATTTCACCTTTTTTAACTTCCTGTGTGTTAGGCAGTGTGTACATGCCTCTTCAGGCCTACCTAGTATATGTGTGTGTCTGCCTCTCTGTGCCTACCTACTGAATGTGAGTTCCTGCCTGCGAGAGTTTGGAGGTAAGAGGTCATAGTTAGGTATCTGCCTCTATTGTTCGTCACCTTAGGTTTTTGAGACAAGGTCTCTCTCTGAATCTGGAGCTTGTCTTTTGGACAAGACTGGCCAAGTGAGCTCCCAGGATCCACTTACCTCTGTGCCCTAGTGCTGAGATCTCAGACAGGCCACAGACCCTTGTTTTGTTTTTGTTTTTATTCAGGGGTTTGTGGATCCAAATTTACTCTTGTGCAGCCAGAGGATTCAAGACCAGCCTCAGCTAAGTAGGAGCCTAGCCTGGGTTCCCCAAGACTTTCTCAAAAGAAAGAAACAACCAAGGGCTTTGGCTGGTGGCTCAGTGTATAAAGTGTTGCCTGAGGTCAGATTCCCAGTACCCACACACAAGCTGAGCTTGGGGCACCTGCCTGAAGCTTCAGCAGTATGGGGTCAGAAACACACACACACTGACAGACTCACATCCATACACATATGTATAACTATAATATTTAGCCAGGCAGTGGTGGTGCATTACTTCAGTCCAAGTTCTGGGGAGGCACAGGTGGATCTCTGGGAGATCAAGACTAACCTGGTCTACAGATTGAGTTCCAAGACAGCCAGGACAACATAGAGAAGCCTTGCTTGAAAAACTAGGACAAACCAACAAAATAAAACCTAATCTTTAAAAAGAGAGTGGATTCTGAGTCCTTTTCTTCCACAGAGGATGTTAAGAAGGACTTCTGTCTCTGTCAGCCATTTGTTTCTCCAACCCCTTTTTATTTGTCGTCTGTGACAGTGTCTCATGGAATCTAGTTAACCTTGACTTGTTGTGTAGATGACAGTGATCTTGAACTCCTGATCCTCTTGATTCTACCTCGCTGGAGCTGGGATTTCAAGTGAGTTTGAAGCTACTCTGGACTTATGAGATCCTCCCAGGCACAAATAAAAATAAAATGTAGAGGCTGGGGATATAGCTCTGCCGGCCTTCAACAGTCCTGGTTACGATCCCCAGCACCACATGGCAGTAGCAGGAGGATTTGAAATTCAAGACCATCCTCAGGTACACTGCAAGTTGAAGGCTAGCCTGAGCTATATGAGATCACTGGCCAGTGGTACTGGGCATGGGAGGGGCAAATGTCATGATTGTGTGTGTGACCACAGAAATATCAGCGCCCTCAAATGGATACAATGTAGGCCTGAGGCCTGCATTGCTCTTACCTCAAATGTCCTTTTTTAAGCTTCATGGTGCTCAGCAGGAACCTATAAATAAGCAAGGAAATGTGGCCTTCCCAGTCTTGAGCAGACCCTTCCCAGCCTTGGGCAGGCTAAGCCGACCTTGAACATTTGCCACAAGAGGTCTTATCAACCTGGACAGAGACATCTGACTTGGCTGCAGTTAATGTTCCCATGGGAAGTTAACTCTTTTGGCTGCCTGCGCTGACCTTGCTCTACCAGATACTCCAGTGAAGTGGGGATGGGTTTTGTGGTTTTTCCCTTAATATACACTGTGCTTATTATTAAACTTGAAGCCTTGATCAGAACTTTGTCTTGACTTCCTTCTGCTTCACCCACCTACCTTTTTTCATTTCCAGTCCCCCTTTCAGGTAAACCCAGTTCTCATATGGTTGCTGGATGGCTATAGGTGGCACCCAATATGGGCCTGAAAATGGAGGACCCACTGAGAAACGCTGTTTTGGGTGGAGCTCTACAGAAAACAGAAAAAGTAATACTGTCTTGTACAGTAAGCAATGAACAGCATTAATGCTAGTGCTAGTAGTTTTAAAGTTTATTTTTTGGACGCTGTTGTTGTAGTGCAATGAAAACAGGATACTCGCTAGGCTAAAGAGGTGTTGGCCCGACATTGGCTTCACCTAGGGGTGACAGTACAGTGGGGCAGGAGAATTCAAAATAGGCCTTCGTCCACAGCCTGAAAGAGCTGCTTCAGGTGAGAGGAGCAGGGTTTAAAAAACAGAAGTTAGAAAAATTCTTAGCTTAAGTAGATTTATGTTGTTCTTGGTTCCCAGAAGTAGGAATGGCAAATATACAAATGAAAGAATTAATTAAACAAGTTGAGGAGGAATTGGGGAAGTTAATAAAGCAGGGCACTAGGGAGCAATTATTGGTAGCTGCCACTGTACCTCCTCTTCCTTCTATGGCAGAATTCCCAGAAGAAGAAGGAGGAGATGAAGAGTTAAACCTTGAATATGAGAGAGAGAAAGGGTTTCAGAAAAGTAGTTGTCCCCTGTCTGGGACACTTTAGCAAAAGAGAAAGAAAATGGATATAAGCTGTATATCAGAGTTCTCCTAGAGACAGGAGGAAATTGGGAGATGTCCTACTTTCTCTCTGGCTCCTACTGGAGATATCCTTAGTTCTGGTTCTGGGTCTCTTAGATAGGATATCTGGGTCCCTTTTGGGATATTTAGTTCTCTTCCCTTTCTGTCTATTGTCTGTCTTTGGCATGCCAATCTGTCCATGTTTGTCAAAACTGACTGTTTTATAAGTCTGTGTTTTTGTTTCATTGTTTGAATGACTGTTGTCCTGTGTTCCATGTTGAAATAAGAAAAATGGTAAAAATTTTATCTGCCGTCTATCCACCCTTTGATTTAGTTTAACTTGTTTATAAAGCAGTCTCAATTTGTACAGCAGAAACTGATAAGTTACCCTGGACTGGGTAACTGGCTGGGCATCAAGCACAGCTGGAGAAGCCCTGCTAGGGGCTGATTATCTATACAAGCTGCTCTTAAAGGGGCCAGCAGCTTTTTGGCTTCTATGGTAAGGAAGCCGATGGCTGTTTTTTCCTTAAAAAAATCTCTGTAATTGTGTTTATAGGGTTCAGCAAGTGACAAGGTGCTTATCTCTTGAAATTACAGCTAGAAAAAGTAAGAGAATTTTGTCTGGTCTAAATATATAAGATGTGTGTAGTCACTTCATTTTTGTTTCTGACTGGTTTTAAAAGTATAAATATGTTCTGCATATCTTGGTTA